AATTTTGGATGATAATCATCACCTGTTGTTGTTTGTAAACTATCAGGTAATGCTGTTAATGATTTACGACGTTGACGAATTAAATTTTCAACATTCGTATTATCATAACCAGTGGACAATGGTGTATTATTTACTTGAGCTTTATATGGTAATTGTTCAGCATAAAGTAAATAGTCTGTGCGGAGACGTTCGGGTAAATCATTAGCAAAATTTCTTACTTGTGCTGAATATTCATATTTAGCCTATTAGAAAATAAAAATATTAATATTATATGAGGGTTGGTCAAAACTACGATCGGTGAGACAAATGCTGCTTTTACACACAGAATAGAATCAAGAACCAGTATCATTAATTTCGAATTCTATACTAGTCCAATGAAAATCTATAGGAATAATACTTTTTTCTTCAGGAAAAGTCATTTATAGAAATGAAGCTGACTCTGAGAAAGACATTTTTATTGATCGCGTATTGGCATATTTCGTTAGTGAAAAGACAATATATTGGTTGCTCTAATTTCAAATATTAGTAAAATATACGATTCTAATAGAAGGATTATCAGAGTGAGGTGAAAATTTGTCATTATATAATTCGTATTGCTGGGACTCTATTCTTTGTATTTGATTTAATTCAACTGGTGCATCACCGTCGTTTTCTTAACTACTGCTTCTTATAATGTGATCGTGTAATGTATGCCTTCGTTTTCTTACTTTTTTCCTAAGTCCAGTCATTTATATCGTAGGGTTATATCACTGTCGTATAATAATGTTGAATGCACGTAGTTGATCTCGATTAATTCTTGTTTTAGTCTTTCTATCATTTTTGTTGTTCTTATAGGGATGCACGATTTTTCTTAAGTAAATTATGAAGAAGATACACATGTTTCAATTACACACAAACACAATTTGTTTGTCTCCTTTAAAAGAGCCAACGTCTACGTCTCTATTATTAACGATTTATTTTTCTTTATTTCTACCATGTTACGCTTTGTTCGACGTTTTCCAGTCATATATAAACAAAAGACCTCGACATATAATATGTATCGTAACAATGTGCGAATAAAAAGAAAGGATAAATTTTCGTCTGGTAATACTGTTCGCTTTTGTAAAATGTTTTTCTATGCTGATCGAAAAGTTGGTTACTATTAAAATTCATCAGTATTATCTTAGAAAACTGATATCGATTAAAATGTTTCAAAAAGAACCCACTAAAGGGCGAATCGAACAAACAAAATAATGACTGCCTCTCAGAATTCTTCAGATGAACGTCATGATTGTTTGTAATTAACAAGATTTTTGCAGTAGTTTCGAGATTCTCGTTAATAATACTGTCGTTCTACTGAGCACCATTTTTCCTTCTAATATATGATTTTTTCTTATTACTGTATATATACAGTCGTATCTAGAAGCATTTTTCTACGTATTATTTTGATCACTGAGTTTTGTCCACTGCTATATCATATTTGTTGTTAAACTATCTATTCAACATGTCATCGTAATATAAGACTACTTACTTCTTTTCTTCTCTTTTTATAACTTTGTTGTTCAGCTGTACTCAATGAACTCCAAGATGTTTCATCATCATGTTCGTCTTTAACAGCTTGAGTATAAAAAGGTACAGTTGTTCTAAAAATAAGCAAATATTTCAATTGCAAAAACTTTCATATATATATATATATACCCGGGTGGTTTTGCTGGTGCATTAATCGATTGAAAATATTTCTTCTGTTCGCCTTTCATTAATAAATAATCGAATAATTTACATTCGATTTGTACACGTTCATCTACATCTTTTTCATCCTATATAGATTAAAATTCATAATTATCTATTGACTTCAATTATATTTACAAGTAATTCAATATATTTATCGACGGATTTTTGTAAAAATCTCGCTTGTTTATCGCTTGATAATTTACAAAACTTTACTCGTAAAGTAAACGGATTATCCTATAAATAAATTATTTCTCTTTTTGTTTATTACAATATTTATACTTACTGTACTTCCTTTTTTCTTTTGTTTATTAATAAATAAACATAATGGACGATATGATTTAATTCTAATACGTACAAAAATAATTTTTAGATAAAAATTATTATCTAACTTACTCTTTTAAAATTTCATCAGAAATGAATTTATTCGATGGTTTTGGTCGACTTCCTCTCGGCATTTATTTCTAAAAATTAAATTATTAGTTATTTCCGTTTAGACTTAGCTATTTAAACATAGTTTTATTTAATAACTGACGTTTTACAAAACAAAAAATTATCAAAAAAATAATACCAAAGATCGAGGTTTATCTTGAATTGGTATGATAATAAATCTAAAACAAGCAAAAGTTAGCAAATGCAAGCATATGATTGAAATCAAATTATTTCTTTGTGATTTAAGATGCAAAAAAAAATGTTAATAAAATCATATTCAATTATATTTCAATGTTATTTATATTTTCCATATCGTTTTTTTTTCTTTCTTTTAATTGAGCATATAACAATAATAGAAACAAATCAAACTAATACAACACAACACACCGGCGAGAATAGAATAAGAATAAAGAATATGAGCTAGTTTAGCAAAATTGTAAAAAAAAAGATATGACTCAGATATGTATATTGAAATATGTACATTTCCATTTCCTAATCTAATAAATGTTTAGAAATGAGCATTAATTGAATAGAGAATGATTTTATATATATATATAAATTTAAATGTTATTGCTCGGCTTTACTAGATAATAATAATGGATCAGTTTCTTTCGATGCACTCGTTGATGCTGTTGGTGGTTCAGTAATTGTGACAGTTTTTTTTGCAGTTGATGGATCAAGGACTTCTTTTTCGTTCTTAGATGAATTATCATCAATTGGATCGAGTACATTTGTTTTTTGAGATGAACCATAATCATTTGTTGAGGGTGTATTCGCCTAAAATAGCTCATACATTTTATTAATGTTATAAAAATAACAAAAATAAAAGAAGAAGAAAAAACTAATATATATGGTCTTTCTCGTAGATTATATAGATCAAATTAGTGAACATATAGGTTTTCTACGGTTAATCATGTCTACAAATTTAAAAATAAACGCATTTTGGAGTCTTGATTTCAATCTTAAAATCCAGAATTGTTCTAAATAACATAATGAATTCTATGTAATAGATTCTCGTTAAAATTCATTATGCGACCATTTAATCTGGAGTTATTTAAATGATCATGATTTTTTGTTTGTCACAAGTAAAGAATATTGACTGATATCAATCCTGTTTTATAGGAATAATTTCCTTCCAATGGATAGTCTTTCTCACTATTGTATCTTTATTTCCATTATAATCTAAAGTTTCATATAAATGACAAGAAGAAGAAGCATGCAATATTAAGTATTAGTTACGGGTAAAATAAAATAAGTGAAGTTTGATTATATATATATGTTGTTTTCCCCTATCAGATTTTCTCTACTTGATATAGATATAGTTATTCATTAATTCTATATTACTTACTGTTTAAAATATATACATTTATTGTAAGAATTCTATAGCTTGAAGCCATAGAAAATAGGTATTACTAGAGAGAAAAATTTATCTGTGCTATCGTCCATGTTTACATATTCTTTTCTGTATTCATTAAAATAAATTTAAGTCATCTATGTGATATTGTGAATAAACTATAACAGACAGCAAAAGAACAGTCTCAGTTAACTGACAATACATGCACAGCATTTTGTGATATTCTATTCAAAAATAGATTGAATCGAACAAATAGTAGTGAAATAATAACGTCCTAATGTTTGTTCTATTATTTTAGAGCATATAAATAGAAGCAAAATTAACTTAAATAATAATGTGCTTTCACTCACTATTATCTTTATATTACTATTCTTATTCTCGATGATTTCTCATCATTCACAATCATTGAATGTACTCTCGTTTTAAACTAGATAAGATAGATATTAAAAATTAATAAAAAAAGTTTTTTTGAAGCAAGAAGAAAAAAACATCTGATAGATTTTATTGAACTTACATTAATAATATTTGATGGTCTTGCACGTGAAGGAGCTTTTGATATCATTCGTCCAGATGTAATCAATGGTCCCCAACCTTCTTGTTGAGAAAATGCATAACCTGATCGTGCAACTTTTCTAGGTTGATGTATTTTTTGTTTAATATGTGCAACAAATGCTGCTTTTTCTTCCATACGATATTTTTGATTTAATCTTGCACGATCAGTTTTATTTGGCATAAATCGCATACGAAAAAATCTAGAAAAATCAAAATCAATTAAAAATAGAATATTAAATATCAATGAAATAATTTACTCTCGACAAAATACAGGTAAAAGTAATATTGCACATGTTATTACTAATGTAAACCAAAAATTTCCAGTTGTTAAAACAGCTTGTGCCACCCCAACATACTCATAATTTGTTTTAAAAATTTTGAAGATAAATGTTGAATATAATGCAAAATGGAATAGGAAATGTACGGCTATTGTTCCCCATAAAACAAAATGATATAAACCAGTCCAATACCACATTTCAAGTGCATTTTCTAAATTGACAACAACAACCATTATTGTTGCAACAATAAAACCAAATGATTGTAAATCAGCTTGCGTCATTCCACCAGGACGTGTACTATTTGATATAGACAAATATGGAATAAAAAAGATTATACATGACGTTAAAACTCCATGAATAACACTTTCAGCAAAGATTTTTTTATTGAAAAATTCATGATTTTGACCTGGAGTATATCTAAACATTAAGAAAAAGATTCGTATGAAATAAAATTAAATAGATTACTTACAAATGTGGTTTTTTGATTGATTGAGCAGCAGTGACATCCTAAAAAACGACAAAAGGTTTATTATGTATTTTCTATAAGGTACTACTAAAAGCGGAATATATTTATATGCAGGGTTCTGCCTAGCGGGTGGGCGGCGCCCACTCGAAATACGAGACTTAGCAAAAAACAGTTTATATGAACGTACTTGATCAAAAACACCCAATGCAAGAACAGGTAATGCTGAGAAGAAAACATTATATGTTGCTACGAAGAATGGATCATATAAAGTCTATAAACAATAGAAAAGAAGAAATATTTTATTTATAGGATAATAAATTACCTGAGCTGAGAATCCCGAAAAAAATCCAAACCAAAAATGGCAGAGAGTAAATGCAAAATTTTTATAAAAAAAGTAACGTAAAAATTTTGATATTCGCAAGTATGACCAACGTCCATGAACAAGTAAAAGTCTTTCAAGATAACAAAATTGTCCGAAACTAAAATCACTTGCTAAAACAGCTTGTCGACCTTCTTGTCCACTAATTCCCACACCAATATGTGCTTCTATAAAATTTTATCAAATATTCAATAAAAATAAACACAATAAAAAAAGTTTTTTTCTTTTACTTTGTATCATTGATACATCATTAGCACCATCACCGATAGCTAATGTAATTTTCTTTTCATTATCCATAACTAATGCAACAACTTCAGCTTTTTGTAATGGTGTTACACGACAACAAACAACAGCTTTACACATTGTACCAAGTTCAAGAAATTTCATTTTTAATTTATCTGTTAATACATGTACTAATGCTGCTCCTGTTATTAACAAACCAAAACCATCAAAACCTTCACTATTTTGTGAACCCATTTCAGTAGTTGTTGCTGTTGCTGTTGATCCATTACCATTTAGAACAGTTGGTTGATCTTTATTACCATTCGTATTATTCGTAGAATTTTTTCTATGTTGATCAAATTTCATTACATCAATTCCCCAATCTTTCCAATCAAGTCGTTTCTTTCTATCTTCAATTTTAACACCGAATAATTGTTCAATTTTATTAATCATTTCATTTCGAATTTCATCTAATTTTGCTGCAACACCTTTTTCATCTTCAGCATCAATTATATTAATATCCATATCATTAGTTAATAACCGACATGATAAACCAATATTATAAGCCGTTTCTTAAAAAACAATACAAAAAATGAAAGTTTTTCTTATAAGGAGTTTTTACTTACCAACTTTATCGCCAGTTAATACCCAGATTTTAATACCAGCACGTGCTAGATTTTCAATACATTGTGGTACACCTTCTTGAAGTTTATCTTCAATAGCTGTAGCACCAAGTAATTTAAGATTTTTTTCAATTTCTTCATATACTTCACTAACTTTTTCATCTCGATTTTCCATACTTGTACTAAAATTGGATTCATTAAGAGTTATACATCTTATTACGATAACAACTTACTTTGCTTTATCTAATGACTCAGCCCATTTATTATATTCTCCTTCATCTAAATCTTTCCATGCTAAAAGAAGTGTACGTAAACCATCCGATGCAAATTTCTATAAAAATATATTATTAATATAAATAAAATTAGAAAATCAATATTTTCTTACATTTAAATGTTCATCTGTTTCTGCCATTATCTCTTTTTCTGATGCATCCAAACGTTCCTTAATTTTTGAATCAGCACCTTTACAATACAAAACAATTTTTCCTTCTTTTTTAATGATAATCGACATTCGTTTTCGATCATTATTAAAATCAAGTATATTAAGTAAATCATAAGTTTCTTCTTTATCTTGTAAACGAACTGTAATACTACTTTGATTACGATTCTATAAAACGAAAAAATATGATTTTGAACAAAAAAACACAAATTAATCTTTACATCAAATACAAAACCAAATGTTCGTGCAGCTGTAACAAGCGCATTTTCATCAGGTGATTGAGCTTGATAAATTATTTTTCCATCTTTTTCTTCGGGCATAACCGTATGACAAAGAGCCAAAAGTGTAAAAAAATTATTTACATCTTCATCACCATTTTTAATCGCATCAATTAATTTTTGATCATACCATTCGAAATCTTCCTCTTTTTCTTCAAATTCTAATTGTTTTGATTTCTGAAAAAAACAAATTTTATTTATTTAGAAATAATAATAAAAGAATTATTCTTACATCAGCTTCTTGTGATTCATTTCCAGCTTCATCAGTTACATATCCATATAATTTTCCGCGTACTGAACATTTATTAAACGTCATTATATTCTAGATTAATAGGAAAAAATTTATATGAAATATCAATCAGAGTATTTTCTAGTGGCGAATGTCTAATGTTAGATAGACTAAGTAGTTTTTGTTATCTAATGTTTTAATCTTTTTCATACTTATTGAAAATGAAGAAATTGTTCGTTTAATCATAGGACTAAATATTTACAGATTTAATTGAAAATGTCTTTCATTCAGCTATAAGTTCGTACGAATATTTCTTTGATTTCATAAAAACAAAATTTCTAATTACCTGTGTTAATGTTCCTGTTTTATCCGAGAATATATATTCGATTTGACCTAATTCTTCATTTAATGTTGTTGTACGTGCTTGTGCCGGAACATTATTTGGTGCATAATACATGTTAACATCCCAATCAATAAATTTCGATTGTAATAAACGTATAAATTCCACACTGACATAAAGCGATATTGGTACGACAGTATTTAATATAATAATATATGATAAAAATACTAATAAACATTTTTGAACGGCACCAACACGTCGATCTTGTGATAGAAATGTTTCCCATGGTAAATAACTACGAAAATCATAACCAACAAATGATTCCCATAGGCCACTACATATTGTCATAATAGTACACATTACCAATAAGAAACAGAAGATCTAAATTAAAAAAAACAGAAAATTAAATATAAATATATGGCAAGGCTTACACCAAGAATAAGTCGATTGAGTAAACGATCAATTTGTGTACGTTTAAATGTAGCTTTACCACTATTTTTCATTAGTTTTGTATCTGAACCAGCATAACAAACAACTGAAATATAAAAGATAAATTAATTATGAAAACAAAAAAAGTAAAAGATTTGTTTTACTTCCGAAAGCCCATTGTGTATTTCTTAGACGAGTACCACGTAATAAAACATTATCATTTTTTAATGGATATGTTTTACCTTTCCATGTTAAATTTCCTTCAAAACGTCCGAGATTATTATTTGGTGCTTCATATTCAATTTCAGCTGAAAGAAAATAATAACATTGAAAGTTATACAAAAAAAATTCGATATTTTCTACCATCAAAACTTGATAATTCATTAAGATCTTCTCCAAGTTTACATGTTTCTTCCAATGCTTGTCGTACTTTAAGATTTGTTTCTCCATCTAATTCAGCTGTTTCAATAAAACAAAGTCCATTTTCATCACTCGATGATATTATAACAACATCAGCCTTAAATAATTCATTTACAATATCAATCTTTTTTTTGAAAATTATTCTTACAGTAACAAATTCATTATTAGTTAATTGGATCATGTCACCCACTTTAACATCTTTCCATTTTTTTGTTACAAATTCTTTTCCAACGACCGTTTTTGTTTCCCGATTATTCACTTCTCGATCACTACGATGTCTTGCCTAATAAAAAAACATATTTATATAAATGATATAAAAAGTTATTTTTATAAACAAACAATATCATCACTGGCATCTTTGATTGCTGTTAAAGCTAAGACAAATACAAGTGGTAATATCGTAGTTATTGGAGCTAATGAACTAATTTGTGGAATAAGCTAAAATAGAAATATTTATATATTAATTAACGAGATTAATTTTATATATACTTGTAAGCAAAGAAGAAAGAGAAAATAAGCATTAGCTAATCGACGAAATTGTTCAAATAAATTTTTAGGTAAAAATGTTATTATATTGTATTTCGATGTAGTAATTTCATTTCCCTAAAAATAATTATATAATAGATTTTCAATAATTAAATCAAATCATATTTACCGCATATTGTGTTGTGTCAAGTGACGGATCATTGGCTTTAATCTTTCTACTCTCCTCTGAAAATATAATTATGAATGAATAATAAAAAAATAATATTTTTTAATACATACCTTCGACAACCTTCTTTTTAGTAAATGGTATTCTCATAATTTAATAAACAAAAAACAAATCTTTTTCACAACAATTATATAATCAACATGTTCTAAACAATGTGATTGTATTAGGAAGAAAAAAAAGACTGATCTAAAATAAAAAATTCTTATCAGTAACACACATAACATCAATCAAAGAAAAACAAATGGAATCTACTAGAAAATAATGATCGAATGAATCATCGGAGTATGGAGTACTTTATAAAACAATCTTATCTAATTTACATTATTTAGAAGGATAATTCTTATTAATGTCGTTGTGACAAGAAACATAAAAAAATATTAGGTATGCGGTGTGAAGAATCATTGAAGTGTGATGGACACGGTTACTGACTCTGTTACATGTGTTTTTAAAAACTTCATGTATTTCTCTAGGACGATTATATAACGGAGATAAATTTTATTTCTTGTTATATAATGACTAGTGATAGAAAGCATGAATGATATTGTTATCATCGAATCAAAACAATAGGAGATTAATTTCTATAAAATAAATATCATTATAGAATAATAAAACGAATGAAATTAATTAATGGATTGATAAAAATAATCAAAAAATCAACAATAAACATATCGGGAAAAATCTCGTGTATATTTTATTCTGTTTTTTTTTTATCAAATCCAT